GAAAGGAGAAATTTTGAAGGATGAGAGTTCTTTGTAACCTAGGTGCGTTTTAGTGTATCACTATGATGCTTTTTATTTCAATAAATATGAAAGAGATGAACATTTGACCTTAAAATAAATAACGAGTGTTTTTATTTATAGCTTGGGATTGACGAGAAAATGTAATTAAAGAATGGACTACATCATTTACAAGGATACATTAGTTTATTGGTGTGGGTGGGATTATAATTAAAGGGAATACCTTGGTCTCCCCCTGTCCAAATGGAGTTATGATCAACACATTGATCACTAAGCCAACTTTGTCGCTCCGAGTAGAAAACATTACTAGTAGCTTGCCCATATTTGCCGCTCAAATTGCACCAAAATAATGTGGTTTGCAAAAGATTTTCTTTAAAGTTCTAGTTGTAATTGCCTCCCGCGTTGATTACATGCTCGCCCAAATCGTTATTTTTCGACTTGCAATGAACCACCTGAGTTGAATCCACCATCGTTTTCAAAATGATATCTTGCCAATTGGACACTACAGGTTGCATCTTGGATGCTGACAGTGTAACTTGCAACTTGGATGTTGCTAACACGACTTAATTATATTGTTTTTTTTCTCTTTAGAGAATTATCACTTTCCATACCCAACTTGTTTAGATTTTGTCTTATATATATATATAGCCAAATTGAGTACCTATACAATTACTTGTATGCCGTTAACCTTTAAACTAGAGTACAATTGAAAAAGTTGTGTAAATTTATTTTATTTAAAGGTCTTTATGACAACAAATCCTCTAATTATTGATCAAAATTTTAAAATTGTAAATGGCTCCTTCAATAAGTAACCCATCCTCTTTTTATTGATCAGATTTCAATATTTTAAAAGAGTATTTATTTACTATGAATAGAATAATATGAACAAACTAACCAAATGTAATGTCACCATAATTTTCTTAACTTGTTTATTTAAATATATATATATAATATGTCAGTTTGAATCTAAGATATTATATGTCATTTAGATGAAATTTCGTTATCTCTTAAGAGTGGAAAGTTTGAATGAAAATTTTTCAAATAAAGAATTTCATAATCTTTGAAATGAAGAGTAACCTCATACTGCACTTACGAATGATTTACGAATGATGAGGTCCCCAACCAAAAATAATTATCGTAAGTTTGATGTGGATATGTTCAGGTCTGTTGGCGTCATGTTGGAGTCATTGACATGTGTGACTTTTACCGACGCCATATATATAGCATTTCAAAAAAAAATTTATTGATGCATCCATGATAGTGTCTCGACCTAAGAGTTATCTTATCTCAATTAATTAGTTTGAAGACATTATTGGAATTTTAAATTTTTGAGGTCCAAATTTTATTATAATTGGACCTTTAACCTCTCATAAAATTAATCATTAGAATTGAATGAAAGTCATATTATTTGCAATGATACACTAATCTCAAGACATTGAGAGATCCAAGATACAAGTGAATACCTTGGTCACCACCTGTCCAAGTGCAATTATGATGAATGCATTGATCACTAAACCATGTCCTTTTCTCTGGCCAAAAAATATCACCAGTAACTTGTCCATATTTGCTACTAAAATGACACCAAAACAATGTAGAATGCCAAAAATTTTCTTTGAAACTCCAATTGTAGTTTTCTCGGGTGTGGAGTACATGTTCACTTAGATCATCATTCTTTGACTTGCAATGAACCGTTAGAGTTGAAGTAGTCATAAAATTTAAAATAGTCACTTGCCATGGGGTGAATGGTAATTGTAGCTTAGATTCTGCAATGCAAAACTTCATCATATTGTTCGATTAAACATAAAATGCTTAGAGACTTCATTTTCTTCTCTGAGATTGCTCCCCCTTGAAAAAAAACTTATTTCTATTCTCTTTTATATTTACCCATATAACTAAAGTGAGGCTCTATGAAGTTATGTTTAACCACAATTAGTTGAAAGTATGTCGTAAATTTTGGTTATTACAGCATAAAAGTTATGTTAGCTTAATGTGTCTTATCTTACTCATTTAAATATAGTTAAATATTTTAAAACCAAGTTGTTGGTCTCAAATATTGTCGTCACCACTATAATTAATTAATTATATATAATAATATATATAGACCTCAAAATATTGTGAGTCTATCAATCTCAACAAACAATTAATTTTGAAAAAGGCTTGAACCCTTGTTAATTCGTGTTCGAGCTTGTTTATACTTACAAATTTGTCTCCAATGGCCTTTGAATAATAAAAAATAATAATAACATCTCGATGAACAACTAAGAATGAAGAACATGACTTGTAACGGATCAGTAAAAAAAAAAAAATCCGCAATCGTCGGCAAGATCGAAAACTCCGGTGAATGCTGGAGTTTTCGTTCCCACACAACCCACGAGCCTCACCCAACTTCGGGTGTCACCACAACAACAGACCCCGACCCTCAGCCAAACCGCCTGCAAGGAAGAAAACGAAAAAACATGAGAGTGAGGAAGAAACCGACGACGCTCCGGTGAATCCAAACCATACGAAATCAACTTCGAAACATCTGATCTACACCACAAAAACAATCCCAATGACCATTACACACACTGGGGATAGATTTTGACGTTGCTTACACGTCGTACACCGTCGGGTAAGGGAGACAGAACGTCGGATTTCCAAACCCTCTCAAATCCGAGAGTGTTAGGCCCTTACGAACCAAACAAACACCATAAACGGGATTAAGGGGAGGAGGAGACTTGGAAACTGAGGAAAAAGAACATCGGAACGACGTTACTGAGGAAAGAGAGAGATCGCTAGAAAATTTCAAATAACCAGGCGAAGAAGACGAAGTTCGACTCGAGGGTCAGACCCCTGCGACCCGAACCGTGTCCAACCCACTCCAGTCCAAACCACGACCGATGACACCCCAGCGGCCCAATCACCTCAGCCCAAACCTCAGCCTAATCCAATACCCGACGCTCACAGTCCAGCCCACCTGCAATTGTTTCCTTTCAGTCCAAGCTCAATCCACCACTCGCGATCAGTCCAGACCCGCAACTGCAACCTGAAAACCTGCGCTCGACCTAACGACCCGCGCCTCAACCCAACTTCAACTAGCACACGCGGCCACTTCTGGTAGCACCACGTGGCAGATTCTGGCGCAAAACTCCCCTCGGCTTTGGCGACTTAGTTGGCTCCGGCGGTGGCTAATCGGCTCCAACGGCTTATTTAGCTCGGGACCCTATTTTTTACCTGTTCGGCACCTTTCCAACCCTCCCGGACTTGATTTTGACCCCGTTTAAGGTAAAATTTATCATTTTAAGGCTGTATTTCACAAATTCAAGTTGGAAATTAATTATATTTGTGAAATACTAACGAATGTGTCGAATGATCCAATAGGAACCAACCACCAATGGAAGCGTAGGACGTATACGAGGAGCTAGGAGTTTACGTTTAAATTTTAAGGAGTACTTCGGCTAAGGCCTACCATGTAAGTGGCTCACCCGTTGTAGGTTACGCATTGTTGTTGTATGTTGGCACGTGCCCGTGGATTCGCACGTATCATTAAATTGTATGCTAGACTGTTATACTCGATTATGTATGCTTGTGAAATGTGAATGTATGTTGTTTAGTATGATGTGATGTGCTATGCTTATGACGTGTATGATGTGTCTGGATGATTCTGGCATGAATGGTACTATAATTTTAATGTAAACAGCATGTTATGTATGACATGAAATCACGATAAATCGCATGAAATGTAACCCCGTTAGGATTATGTATGATACGTAGATTGAAAAATGAGAAATGACTTGTTAAGCATGAAAGATGGTAGCGGGGTTATATTCATTAATGATAAAAGTAGAAATATTGGGGACCTCATGCATTATGTGTGCTCATACATTGGGGGATACCCCTATTCCATCACGAGAGTACGGACGCGTACACCCAATGGCAAGGGTACGTTCGTTATGTTTTGCATAGCGTTGTCGTGACGGTTACTAGTTCTAACGGGTGTTCGGCCTAAGGAGCTCCCAGAGTATGCTCGCCCGACAAGGAAAGTGGCCCAGCGGTGCAAACTGACTGGTGAGCCCATACTTGCATGTATGGGTTGTGTGTAGAGTATATGGTACATGTCCAAATTACCCATTAGGACAGCACCGAAGGAAGATAGATTGAAAGATAGGTCCCATCATCTCATTTGCATATGATTGTTGCATAACCCCGATAGGGGGGTCACTTACTAAGTATTCTAGAAATACTCCAGCCTCGTGCTACCACATTTTCAGATAAAGGCAAGACACCCATGTGAAACCGACGGCAGCATCACAGATCCCGAGATCGTGACACATGCATAAGATGGTTGTTTTCCATTCGCAGTATAGGTTAGTATAGGTTGAATTTCATTTGCATTCATAGTATAGGTTAGTATAGATTGAGTTCCCGTTTGCATCATTCATATAGGTTAGTATAGGTTGAATTTCATTTGCATTCATAGCATAGGTTAGTATAGATTGAGTTCCCGTTTGCATCATTCATATAGGTTAGTATAGGTTGAATTGTAATCGCATTAATAAATCATAGGTTAGTATAAAACATTTATTTCAGAGTTGTTTTCCCTCTCTTTCCCTTGTATTCGTTATTCATGAGATAATAAAAGACAAACTTACGTTGCAGTTACGGTAAAAGTCCATTTAAAGTAAATTTAGCGTTTAAAGTATAGTAATCACCTTAAATTAAATAAATAAAAGCATGACTACTTTAATATAAGAAAATTTCAATACAGACAATTTCGAGAATAGAATGATTAAAATTTCAAATAGTGTACTTATTTTCATTTAAATGAAATAAAAAGATAATAGCAGTTATATTGTACATTTTGTAAAGAATATTATGAACATCATACAATGGGGAATAAAATGAGGCCTTTTTCCAATTATATGAAGTCATAGACGCCTCCCCTGTTTGTCTATATATCTATATATATATATCCCACTAGAACGATCTAGTAAGATCCTCACGAAATTATGGACGGCGAGGATGTAGCAACCTCAATCCTTATCTAGATGGGATCATGAGGGTCCCATCCCAGCCGTAGAAACAACGTGCCATCCTTCTCTATAAATATATTATTCCACCTGAGCAAGTCGGCACTGAAATAATTTTATTTTATTTTATTTCGCCCACCGGAAAATGTTGTTCTGCAAGGAGGACAAAGAGCTGGGTCGGCGGCAGGCCATGGGGAGGTGCCCATTGTGCGGCGGCAAAGTTGAGGCAGTGGACGTGGAGAGGAAATGGAGGCTCTGTTTAGCTCCACTCTGTTTCAAAATCAAGAGGAAATATTACTGTGTTATGTGTGGTCGTCGTTTGGAATTGTATTATTAATCTTCTTCTTTTTCTTGGTTTCTTTTGTGTTCTTAGATTGAATGAGTTATATGTGACAAAGGGTTTCTGGGTTTCTTTTTCTTTTTGTTGGTGTAAATGGGTTTATGGAGTTTGATTGCTTATGAATGTTTTCAGAGAGGGAGGGGAGAGATTGTTAATGGGTTTTTGAATCATTAAATTTTTAACCCATTTTTAAAAATCTAGAACCAAAATCAAAGAGTTTAGGTTTAGAAGAGTTAATATCGTATCATTGCGAGGATTGTTGTTTTTAATTTGGTGTCAGAGTTATTATTTCTGTGGGATTTATAAGAGTCAAGTTCCGATTAAGTAGGGATTGTTCATAGGTTTAAGAGAATTAAAGAGGTCTCGAAGGAGATTTTATGGTGTAGTTCAAAAAGAGGATCGTTGAGGATTATTAAGAGCCTGAGTAGTCTCAGGTTAGCTAATGAAGGATGAACGTTATCTTTATTCAAATAAGGTCAATTAAATTCATGAAAGCTATTTTATCTATTTCTTAAATGAGCACTCAGACGGTCATTTTTTCATTTTGATCTCTTACTGTATTTATGACTTAAATTAGAAAAAAAAATATTATAATTATGTGTACGTGATCTTACCATTCGAACCTAAAATTAAATTCTTGGATAAGAGATGGAAAAGTTAATGGATATTTTTTATATCGAATGTGATAAATGATTTTCTTTTTCTTTGGTAAGAATTTCAATTGAGTTATACTCATATTAACATAAAAATAATTAAAACGGCAGTGACGTGAGTTGAAATATTCGAATCTACCCAATAAATATTGAACACAAATTTGAAAAATTGGTTCGATTTATCTTCTGCATTCAATGATATAAATTTTTAATTATTTTATACCGACAATGTAAGTGATGTTGAAGATAAGTATATTTATATATATTTATTTATTGTGGTAGTGATGTATTTCACATGGTATTGATATGGTCTTTGTCACATCTCGAGTTATATATTATTCTTTTCTGTAAGTGAATATTATTTTATTATTCGTTTTTTGTTTCCTTATATGTCATTCCTAACAAAACGTCCATTATTATAATTCTTTTCTAAAATAGAATTATTGGGAAGCTTTTCCTAACTTTTCTTCTACGAAAATGAAAGCACTTTAAGTTTGTTGCGTTACGGTCAATCTCAAATACAAAATTCAAATTTTTGGGTTACTTACTTTATGTTATGTATTTTCTTATAAACTCAATTTCATTAATTCAATATTTATGTGAGAGATTTTCTTATAAACTCAATTTCATTAATTCAATATTTATGTGAGAGGACGAATATTCTTTGTAGTTTCACGGTTCGTATCAAAGAGAAATAAATATTTAACCATTATTAAGATACAAAATAATATTTTGAAATTTAAGAACGAACAGTTGAATGTTCTATAAAAATTTAGAGACTTAATTATCTCATGTCCAGAATACAAAATTTGGATTCGGTATCTGATAGCTCCGGCATCTTTGCGACATCGTCACATCACTTTTAGACATAAGAGTGGAGACTATCCTTGCAGAAAATTCCCAGGAAGTTATTCAACATATAATTATTCAAAAGAAAGTAAACAGGTTTATCTTTAGAGTTGTTATGATTAAACCACAAAAAAGGGATATACATCTTGTTGATACAAATAGTAACTTTCAATTTTTTTAAGTCTTTTTTTATCATTTTTTTTTCAAGATCACTCTTATTTGGATGTGATTTTGATTCATTCATGTATCAACATTTATTCACGTATCACATTTTATAACATAAGAATTTCAATATTGTAAATGGCTGTATTTGGATATGTTCATCCGTGCTTTTAAAATTGTTTAAATCAATTTTATTATATTCAAAATCACTCTGAACCGTGAAAGTCACATCTGCCACCTTGCAAGCCAATGAAGGCTAGCTTTTCAAAGAGATACTTCAGCGGGTCCATCCTTGCAATCAGCATGGTCATATAGTTCAAGATGTAGCGGTGTAGGTGTTGCGAGGCTCATGGTTGAGCACAACCGCTTTTTTCTAGAACCGTATACCTTGTCTCATAATCAGTGAACCTTTTGCAGATCTCGTATATTGCTCTTTCTTTCCTACCAGTTTTATCGTGGTGACCAAGGATAGACACAACTCATAGATGCTTTCATTACTTACCGATGCATCATGAGAGGTCGACCGAGCGTTGGCGGTACCTTTAAATCAATTTTATTATATTCAAATTCACTTTAAATAGATATTTAGTCATTCAAAATAATTCAATATTTAATTTTACATTTTCAAATGCCATTTTTCATACTATTAAAATAAATTTTTAATGGTGTATCATTTTAAGCAAAAGTGACTTTAATTTGTATTGGAGAAAGAGAAATGAAACACTTTTATAAACGTGTGGAAACTTCTCCCTAATAGACATATTTTAAAATCGTGAGTCTGACAGCGATAAGTAACAGGCCAAAGCGGATAATATTTACTTGCTGTGGGCTTAGGCTATTACAAATAATATCAAAGTCAGTTACGAACGATGCGAGGCAATAGTCGAAGTAGGGCTAAACTCTCTCCATCGCAGATGCATTTTAAAATCGTAAGACTATCGATGATACATAACAGATGAAAGTAGACAAAACAATGTTCGTGATCTCCATTTAATGAGAACAATGGGGTTGAACAATTCAATTCCAAGAGCTAACTTATCCGAACATTAAATAACAAGGCTGCTTCCCCCATATGATCCCGCCGTCGTTGAGCTGGTCCGGCTTGGATTATTTTTGTGGAGATATTGAATGAGTTTGGTTTAATTTGATTTTGAGAAGCATTGATAAAGCAGCGATGGGACCGCAGTGGCCTGACGTCCCTCATCGTTTCAGCTTCAGACTGTCATGTGAGATCCGTCAGAAACACAAAAGCATGGTGGTTGTTGATTTCATGCTACTTAATGCCATATATGGATAAAGCGACACGTGTTGGATGGAAATTAAAGTGATACCAATGACCCGACTTCAAAGGATGTGACGGTGGCACAGATGTGGTTCTAGTTGATTGAGACAATTTTTTAATTGATAAACTATACAGATGAGAAAAAGGTGTCGTGTGCATCATTCATGCGGTAAGGTGATGTAGAGTTATGATGGGAATCCACTAGGGTGATCCTTAGCCCCGATGGAGGTGTGGTCACATGGATAGAATTCAGAGAGGCCTTCTGGGTAGAGTACTATCCAAAGGTTGCCCGACTCCAAAAACAACAAGACTTCATCCAGCTAATACAAAATAGACCCTTTGTCACTACCTATGGAGTTCACGAGACTAAAGCAGTTTGCCCTAAAATTGGTTAATATAGAAATAAAGGTGGCATAGAGATTCATCCAGGCCTAGATGAGAGGATTTGTCGTACGATTGAGGTCATAACCCCTATCACCTATGTTGCCATTCAAGAGAAGCTAAGGCTATGGACGGGAATAAAGTTGGAGAACTTTGAGGATCGTTAATACTGACCACCATAATGAGATAGAAGCGGCGATATGACCAAATCGACCCACATTGTCAATCGCTAGTGCACCCACAGCAATAGACAAACAGACACCATAAAAACTAAGGACATGGTCAGCAACCAGGCCGAAAGATACTTAGAGGAAACAAGAGGTCCCATTGCAGCGAGTGCAACAGGAAGGATTGTGGATGGTGTATTGCCTCGACAAGAGAGCATGCTTCTGATGCAACCAAAAGGGCTACATAGCTATGAACTGCCCAAGACTTTGAATGGGTAACACAATCCAACCCAATTCTTATGATTTTGGTTGGGTAGTCCAAATAGTTGAATACTTCTAATTTAACAAAGATATATAGGAGAGATGATTTTAAAGAAACATTTTAAATAGAATATTAATAATCTATCCTTCTAACCTATTTTAAAATCTAAATTTAATAGAATATTAGGCATGCAAACCTGGTGGGTTCATTATATCATAAATGAACAAAAGTTTGACTTGCATCTTAAACTATAGGAACCTCATACATCTATGCATGTCATGTGCATTGAGATATTTCTCCGTTATGATTAGTACAAACATATATCTAAGATATCGAAGTTATCATGATATAGCATGAGCGAGGCTAGCCAAACGAGCCAGACCCAAATGAAAATATGGATGATTATAGAAGTTATTGAATCAATGTTTATAGATAAGGTGTAAAAATATAGTGTTTTGGGAAGCGTGGTGGGTGAGGTGGGAGTTGAGAGAGAGGTGAGGCATGTTCTATAAAGGCTGCGGGGGGCGGCAGAGTGAGTTTGTTTGGTTAGGTGATGATAGGTGGTGGTGCCATGAAACGCTGCCACATGATATGGACCATATGAACACACTGTGCCAGAGTTACGCCACCTGCCTTTTCAACTCACCCTCATTCTTATCTTCTCACACCAAAATCAACCATTTATCTCTCTCTCTCTCATCTATCTTATAAGATATTGGGAAATATCTAACAAAATAATGTCTTGCCCAAATATGGAAATTCTTTGGGGATGATGCAATAATCGGATCTCAGGTCGAGACTTCCACTCAATTTGCAACATCATCAATGACTCACTCAAATTATCCCGAATCTAACCATTAACATATTTGGGTTGATGTAACGATGAGTCCATTGAGCCATTCCAATTGGGAGATCTAAATATGGTTGGCCAATCCATTTTAAAATATTGATCTACATCAAACCTAATTGAATTCATGGATAGGTCAAACTAAGTTACTCAAACTTTGATTTTGAATCCAATTTAGATCGAGTCTAAACTGAACCGGGTCGATGTTTATGTTTTGGGCCTGTTGTTGATGTTGGATGATGGAAGTCCCACATCGACTAATTTAGGGAATGATTGTGGGTTTATAAGTGAGAAATACTAACTTTAGTGATATGAGGCCTTTTGGGGAAGCCCAAAGCAACGCCATGAGAGCTTATATTCAAAGTAGACAATATCATACCATTGTAGAAAGTTGAATTGCGAGGCTGTTTTTTTATCATTTTTTTTTTATAGGGCCAAAATGTATTGAAAATATATTTATTTATCAAGCCGGATCTATCGGTCTTTACTTGCAACTCTAGTCGAGGTTCTTCTATCATTGAGTTTACTACTCCTCAATGCTATAGAA